CGCTATTCTCTCTCCCTTTGCTCAGATTTTCTTTTTCTGCTTCAATTTTCTGAAGCACATCACCTCTGAAGAGTTCTCTGCTGTGAAGTCACAGAGGTAAGGAGCCTGTGCCTGCTGCTGCATGGGCTGCAGAGCCAGGGAGCTTGTTAGTGCTGTTCCTTTGGGGAGACGGAAGCCCTGGTGTCCTAGCCCAGTTTTCTTTAATTTATTCTGCAACTCTGAAGGCTGCAAAATGGGGCCGAGGCTTGCGAGGTGCCACATTGTGCTCTGAAAAACTGTCCATGCTGAAACGTGCTCTCTGCTTAATGACTGTCCGTGGCTGCTGTAGCACGGATGAACCCAGAGATGCGTGCTCTGGCTCAAGCAGGCTGTGCAGCAAGCTCCACGAGGCACTGCTGGGGGGAGCGGGGGTGGCTGTTTTTTAACAGACCGCTAAGCATTAACCCCTTCCTGTTTCAGGAGGGGCAGAAAGAAACAAAACTCACCCTGGAGGCTCTGAATAAGCACATGTCTGCCTGCAGCCTGTTGCCACCCTCTCAAAGCACAGGGTGTGTGGGCTGGGACTGTTAGGAGGGTCGGATACTGCACACCAGCCCCATCCCCTCCCCTCTGCCCCTCCACAGCTAACTTCCCCACCGCTCTGATCCGCTGTGTGCTACAGAGATCTGGCTATGGCCAGCTTCCACGCAGCCCTGAAGCGTGGCTGAGGTAACTTTGTCTTTCCTTCCCCAGAAGGAAGAGTTTGCCACCTGGCTTCACCCTGGAAGAGATCTGCATGCTCAGTGAGTGCTGCTGCCGAGCATCAGCACCCCTGGGTGCTGGTAATGGTTGATCGCTTGGGGGCTTGGGTTCCCAGCATCAGGTGGCTACAAATGGGTATGCTTTCCTTGGGGCCTCACAAGAATGCAGCCCCAGGGCACGTGGGAAGTGTATTGCTTAAAGGAAGAGAAAGTGAGCAAGATCGAGATGGTCTTCAGGTAGCTCTGTTTTGTTTTCTCTAGAGCAGAGAGACCGAGGCAGCACCACAAGTCTGAGCAGTGACTTCTCTCTGGGGATGGAAAGTTCCCCTGGAGCCGCTGGGAGCTTCACCTATGAAGCAGTGGAGCTGATGCCAGCAGGAGCACAGGCTCAAGCAGCATGGTGAGGAGATAACCACTCAATGGGCTGCAGAACAAAAGGCGCAGGCTCTGAGCACAGTAGAAAAGCTATTTCTGAAGTCCCTCACTCTCCAGGTCTGCTCTCTTTGGCATGGGTTCCTTATGGTGGAAAGAGGAATTTGGCTGTGAGAGGCTTTGCTGCAACTTGTGCTACAGAACTTCTGCACCAAAAATTGGAGACCGCCCCATGTTAGAGACTGTCAGGCTTCTGCGGGGATGCTCCTGAAGTTTGTCCCTTGATGAGAGTAAAGGAGCTTTGTTCCATTTTCACCAGTTTCACTGTTAAACTTCATCCACAAAAGGATTTCGTTACTTTTAAAAGATGATTCCAAACTATGAGAAAAATGACATTTGGCATCAGCCTCCCCAGGGAAAAGTGGAGGCAGTTTAGCTGCCCTAAAATGAAGGCAGTTTAGCTGCCCTTAATTGGTTTATGGAAGAGATTATACAGGGGAGTGTCTGCAGTTAGTGGTAGGTGGGCTGGGTGGCCAAGAATCCCCTCTAAACTTCAGCCCCTCTAACAGCACGAGGTGTGTGAGCTGAAATCAGGTTGCTGCCTGCAGCGCTGCTTAGAGATACTTCTGGGGGAGAATACGAAATTCTCAGTGCTCCCTATTGGTAGAAGGTCTCATAGGACTTGCCTGGGGATGTAGGTGGCTGGCTGGAAGCGGGGACTGGGGAAGGTGTCTGGCAACTCTGCTGCTCTGGGGCGGGCGTTGTGCTTGCTTGTGGAGTTTCTGGTGCTGTTTGGGGATTTCAGAACCTTGCTGTAGGGTTGCCCCTCTCAGTTTAATTTTTCTCTCTTCTCCCTCAGCACATGTGAAAATGCTATTTTATATTGCAATTATTTTAAATTAAATCTGGGTTGTGCTGGAGGCAGTTGGAAGTCCTCTGGGACTGAGCCTGCAGCCATGCTAGGGGCAGCAGCCTTTCTAAAGCACATTGTGATTCAATTTATAAAATGCTGAAGAGGGGAAGAGAGAATCTTCCTGCAGAATCACAAAATGGAGATGGGGAGTCCCAAACCGCGTTTACCAAGTAAGCAGCGCAGGGTCCTCTAACACACAGACCCTACCTATCCACAGCAAAGTGACTGCAGCAAGTAGAGGACAACTTTCCACTTGCCTGGCTGCAGGGCAGTAAACTGGAAGCATTTACGTTGCTCTGAGCGCTCAGGACATACAGATGAGATCCTGCAGCGCAAAACCTACACATGATTTTCACAAGATGTGAAGCGGCCAGAGCATGCTGGAAGAGATCTGTTGCACTTGCGTGTATCAGGGCTTGATTTTGTGATGTGTTTTCTAACTCTGGTTTGCTTTCATTCCTGTTGGAGACATCAGGCTGTGTTGGGGCTAGCTGCTGCTACCATGGGGATGGTTTGGGCCCATGCTGTGGGCATGAGCTTGGGAAAGGGAAGGTTGTGAGCCTTGCCATGAGTGCTTAGCAAGGGGACTGCTCTCGGATGTCTTGCTGCAGGCTGTTGTGGCTGTGTAGTCTGGAGAACAGGTAGGGCTTGCTGCAAGCTGGGTGAGCTGGACTGTGGGGAGCGTGAGTGGGGAGGGGATGTGCTTCATTGTGTTGTCCTGAAAACAGGTGGCCTCGAGGTCTCCTTGCAGGGAGAGTCATTTGGTTTTTAGCTGTACAAGCCTGTTTCTGCAAGCTGTGCTTGGAGATGTTGGCAGCTATGATAACATGAGATAAATAATGCTTGAGAGAGGCTGTGGTGTGATGTTTGAGGGTGGACACCTTCAAGAAGTGAAGAGAGGATATCGTGCTTTCCACTGTACAATGAGCCTGTCTTTAGCTGCACTTGCTGACAGTGCTCGAGATCTCAGTCAAAGCTGAGATGCCCTTCCAGATTCCAGAAAGAACAGCATCTTTTCTCCTTGAGTTTGTCTGCTTTAGACTTTTCCTTTTTACTTGTGTACATAGGGAGGTCTTTGTCCAATTCACTGTGGTTTTGGAAGGGGACAAATTCTTGGGACTCTTCCACAAAAAAAAAACTGATGTAAGAAAGGAAATCTGAACGTGGAGCAGCAGTGATGTGAATTAGTCCCAAATATGTGTGCCAGTTTGGCATGTAGCTGGATGGTGCTGTGAGCTAAGGCCTGACGCAGCAATGGACAGTGAATCACACCCGAGTCTGAATATGCTGGCTGGAAAAGAAGCCAGAGCAGTTCTGGGCTGTCAGCACAGACAGGGAGAGGGCTGAAACGCACCTACATCTGGAGTGATTGTCAGCTCTGTGCACATGGTCAGAAGTGTGGTCAGCGGTGCCTGAAGGGAATCACTAAAAGGGAAAATAACACTGGTGGTGTGTCCCTGTCACGCTCATCAGTGCACACGAACGCCCACCTGGGCTGAGCTCCTCGGCTGATACACTTTGTAGAGTTCAGAGCAGATTGAAATGGTCTTTCCCTGCTGGGAGGCCCCTTGCTTGAGGCATTTTTACAGCTAGACTAAACAAAGCAATCACTGTATGTGTGTGGGCTGATGCATTCTCCTGTCTCTGGTTTCCAGGTCACGTGGATGGTGATCTATAAAAGAATGGGCTAAGATGGGTTGAGTTCAGTGTACCCCCGTCACTGAGTGGTTACCCGTGACTCATGGTTCCTTGGGAGGGAGGAGGGCAGGTTCACTGGGAACAAGAGCTTGTAGCTTCTGGGATAAAATCCAGCCTGCTGTGGAAAGGCTTCCTAGTTGGAGTATGTGGGAAAGCCAGCTTTGTCACCCAAGTCCTCCATCCCACAGGAGGAAGAGCTGCGCATCGTCGCCACAAGCCGTGCTCTGGAGCAGGGCACAGCAGTCTGAAGACAGGCTGCCTTCTGCAGGGATGGTCGAAGTCAAGTCCTCCAGCTCCTCCTCATCAACCCATTCTGATAACTTCCTGAGGATTGGAAGCAGCCCACTGGAAGTGCCCAGATCCAGGTGAGATGGGACGGAGTAGAGCATTTCTCAGCAAAATGAGTGTCTGGTAAGGAGAGCGCAGGGCTGCACTTGTGTGGCTCTGAGAACCCTGGAGCACATGGGTTTGTATCTGCAAACAGGCCTCAGGAGGCCTGTTCCTGTCTAGCCTGACCTTGTGTGAAGTGCTGGCCATTAAACACAGAAACTCCTGCCTCAGCCCATTTAGAGGAGTGAGGAACAGTGCCGATAACGGCTAGGTGTTTGTTCTGCCTGTCCTCAGCGCATGCCTCAACTCCACGAGCTCTGGCATCTCTGCATCCTGCATGTTTGGAGCTCACAGCACTTTCTCTGTCAAATGCATCCACAGGGGTTTGAAATGGCTGTGTTGTGTGGGGGAGGAAGCCTTTCAAACCAAGCAGACCTCATTCTGCATCTATCCTGTCCCCCTTTCCACCTGCTGACCTTCCTGATGCTGCAGGGTGGAAAAACTCTGGGTGCTGGTGGCAAGCAGAGGTAGAATCCGCTGGGAGCAAGTTAGGAGCAAGCTGCGAGCGCTGTGCCGGCACAAAGGATTTCACCTGGAAGGCTGTGTGTTCCCGCTGGGCAACCGGGGAATGGGGACCCTGGACCTGAGCCTGATCTCATGCCGTAACAAAGGATATTCTGGCACCCGTCTGGAGTCTGATGCTGTGGTAGGGCAAAGCAGAGTGGTGAGCGAGGCTAGGGAAGAAAGAGCAGAGCCTGTGGAGCAAACACCATGTGTTTAGGCCGACAGGGGATAAAGAGGCTCTTAGATAAGAGGTTGCTGTTAGCAGCATCAAACACTTGTGTAGTCTCTGCAGGCTTTCCGATGAGTCTTTTTCTAGTGATTCCCTTCAAAAACAGCCACCAGCCAAATTTTAGTACTCTCTCATCACACGGAAAATAAAATGACAAACAAGTAAAGCATTGAAAATTTGTAAGACTTTCTTACCAAGTTTCTCGATTCCAGAGAAAAATCACTGTCTGACAGTTTTCATAAATGATGCTAACTGTTCTCCCTGGGGAAAGAGATCAATAGGATGTTTCTGAGTTGTTGCTGGGGCCCACCTCTACATTCTCTGTAAGATGAAGTAAATCTCCCGAGAAGAGAAGAAAATACAGGAGAGAAAGCAGCTTGCCTTGGGGGCTGCTTTTGTTCATGACGGTAATGCCACAACTCCTGTGTGTGGTCTCATGCCATTCCCAAGACTTGAGAGGCCATTCAGCGCTGGGCTGGTGGCGAGCTTGCAGCAATGCTGTGGAAGAAGCGGTTTATAATGCTTCAGCTGGACTCTGCTCTGCGAGAGCGAAGAAGAGAAACAGAGTAGGCGGAAGAGCACCACGGGAAGGGGCTGAGCACACAGTCCCTGGGATTCCAGGGGCTCAGAGTTGGTAAAGCCAGCAATTATCTTTCCTCTGGCTGTGTCTGGATGACGTGTCTATAAGCTTAGTGCCCATTGGTATCGGGTGTTCAGAACTGCCACCCCCAGGGCTTGAGGCAGCAGGCAAGCATGGTGGGGAAGCTTGTTACTTCCAGGCCAGAGTCCCTGGGGGTGGCTTTTTCCTATGCCCAATAAATATCCCTGAGAAGGAGTTGCATTATTCTGTCATTGTAAGAGGTAAATGTTCTGTGAATTCTGCTATAAACGTTTTTCTGACCTTTATGATATCTTCTACCATGGCACAAAGCCTTTATAACCCTTCAACACAGCAAGGTTGCACCAGTCCACTCCCAATCCCTGTTAACTTTTGTGAACAAGGCAGTGTGAAAGGCTGGGCTAGAAAAAAGTACACGACGGGGGAATAGGGGATAAAAGGGGGAGCAAACCCCTTGCACAGCCTGGAACCAAGGGGACAGGAGAAGGAAATGAGTTGTGAAGCCAAAGTGGTGAAATCAGCTGCACACAAAGATGGTTTGCCTGCTACACTCGTGCTGGGTGGAGACTGTACACCTGCATGCTCTCCATCTCTGGAGTCACTTAGGTTTGCCCTGCTCTTCTTGGTGTGCAGGCTGGAGGAAATAATAATAGAGACCTAGACCCTTCCACCCTAGGGAGTGGGTGGAATTGTCAAGGCAACGGCTGAACTGAGCTTCTCTTTCAAACCCAGTCTTCTGGCACACTCATGCTCCTTTGCCTCCTAGTCCATTGCCAGATCAGTGAGACTGCCCTGCCTGCCTTCCCTGGGGTAACACTGCTAACAGCTCTGCTAGCTAAGGACTTGAGCAATGCGTTGCCTTGTCAGACGCTGACATGGCTTGTACTTTTTGGGGCCTGGACATGGTATGTTTTCTCCAGAGAGAGAGGTTATGTCACCCCACTTGGCTTTGGTCTCCCTGCTTGGACTATGTTCGTCTGAATTTGTCTGGTGAGCTCCGTGCAGGTAATGGATTATCACAGTACCTTCAGCCACCATTTTCTATCCTGAAGGAAGAGTCCCATTTTGGGTGGAGAAGGAGTGTATCTGTGATGGAAGGAAGAGGTAAATTCTGTTCCTTCACCCCCCGAGAAATGGTGGGACTAGGATGGAAAGGCTGGAGCACAGAGACTGATCAGGGTGCCAGAAATACCTTCATCTCTACAGTGCTGCTGGCAGGTTAACAGCCAAGGCTGTTAAGATGAAGAAACTACTGTACTTGACTTCCTAATCCTCTGGCTGTGTGGCCATAGCAACAAAACACTTAACCACTGCAGCAGCAGTTGAGGAAAAACGGTTGCTTGTAAAATGCCAGCAGGCACCCTTCAGGTAGTTCACGTAAACAGCCCAGCCTGTATGCTGGCAGGCAGGGGAGCTCTGGAGGGAACGGGAAGGCAAGCCAACAGAGAGAGATGAGCAGGGACTGGGAGGGGAACTGGGGTGTCCTAAATGAAGGAGTCACAAATGTCGAGTCAGCTGGTGGGAGCCAAGCCCCGCTCCTGGCCGGGCCACGTCAGCAGTCTGCTGCTGCCATCGCCTCACAAGCCTGCCTCCTGTGTCCTGCTGTGATCCAGAGGTCCTGGGTACCTGTAAATCCCAGGATGGTTCTTGTTAGGCAAAGCAGTACAAAGGCAAATTCCTAGCAGTCTTTCTAACTTATCCCAATGCAATGGTAAGATCGCATCTGCTGAGGGCAAACATGCATTAAGATATTGCATAGATTATTTGCAGAGCAGGACAAGGTGTTTGTTGTTCTACAAACGGAGAGCTCTGAGTATGGCAGATAGTGTGCATTGAATCGAACTCCCTGCGTGCGAGTGGGTAGCAGCTTGCAAACCTTGTCCTGTGTTTGCATTTGACACTAGTAGTCTCAGCGTCCCATGACACTGCAGAAAAACCCTGTATCTGTGTCAGGGATTTAGTATGTGTGCACATAGCACTAATGTGGATTAGCAGCTGGATAATCTTTGGTTGAATGTGCTTTCGCTAAGTCAATTAAATGAAATCCAAAGTACTGTGATCCGAAGAGTCGAGATCTGCAAGAGTTAAATTATGGAGGATCTGCTTTGGTCAGCAGTCACAGAGAACTGCCTTACCTTAAGGGCTGCAGGCGGTTCAGGTGTGGGTCTGGAGGGAGTGCAGTGAGCGCAGAGAGGGACAGGGAAGCTGCTGTCTCCCTTGGCTTTGGGTGTTTTGTTGGTAGTGATAAGACTGCACGCGCACTACGTGTCTTGCTCCTTGCAGCCACCTGGCTTGGAAGGTGTATCTGCGATGTGACAACTTGGGATAGCGACCGCAGCAGGACAGGAATTGTTTACAGGGATGTTTTCTGGAATTATTGCACGACTATGCCACAAGATGTGCTTGCCGGCTGGCACATGACTGTGCTGCAATCAAAAATGGTTGTGCTCGCAGAGGACTGGCTGCTTGGGCTGTTACAGCACTAACACAGCCTGTAGATAGCTGCCTGGGATTCAGCCAGGGCTCTCAGTACAGCGCTCTGCCAAGTACTCCTTGCCAACATTTCCCACGCAAAGGTGGGAAGGGCTGCCCTTTACTCCAGGTTGCCACAGTCTGTCTGCGTGTACAGTACCTACTTAACGCTTCGATTTGAGGCACAGAGCATATGCTGGCAAATGAGCTGCTTCCCAAATAGTCCTAGGTGTGTAGAAATATGGCAGGTGAGCGGAGGCGGCACAGGGCAGGATGAGAGCCTAGCTGCTGGGCACTTGGCACTCGTCTCAATTACGTATTAAGAAAGGGAAGGATCCCTGACTGTTGCTCTGCCTCCGGTATTGGCTCTCCTCTGGTAAGCGAGTGTTCGTGTGCTCTGAAATACTCTATCTTGTGCAGCATGTTGCATGGGAAGTACTGACCTAATTAAAAGGAACCGTTCCAGGCTAGGAGTTGCTAGTTTGTGGCCTGCTAGAGGTCCTTCCTTGTGTGAAGGAACAGCTTGCAGCTCATCTCTGTTTTGCTAATCTAATTTTGTTAATCTTGCACTTTTGAGGGAGTTTCTTCCCACTCGTGGACCTGAAGAGGTGGGTGTGTGAAGCTCACTTTCATTCTCTTTCTGTCTGCCATTAGATGTCTGTGGCAGAGACAGTGACTTGAAGACTTGCTGTATCTCATCTCTCTTAACCACGTCGGCTTTGCTGTGGTCGTCCAGCTGCTTCCCAAGACCCTCCACGCTGCCCTTGCAGCTAGCCAGCCTCTGGCACGGCTGTAATGTGTTGCAAACCTGTTCTTACAGGCTTGGGGACTGGTCCTGCTGCCCCAGCAGCCCCAACTTGCACCGAAGCCCTTTTTGGGCCTCTGCAGCAAGACTTTACAAGGAGCCTTCAGGGGTAGAAATAACAAGAAGACTTTCACCTTTAGCATTTACCGGATTGCACTGGGATACAATCACCTTAGAGATCTGGTCTTGGTCTCAAGCCAAGCTCAGCTTTTAAGAAGCTCTGCTGCCCTTGCAGTGCAAACGCAGGATTTCCCATGCCATGCCTTCCCTGCCTGTCTCACCCAGCCCTGGCCCCTGCTGTCTCTCGAGGCTGTTCAAGATGCTTGTTGGTTGTGACACTTCCTCAGGGGCCTCCCTTGAGACGGCATTGGGGATAGAGGGGAAAGTCTGCCACGATATCTTAGCTCTGCTGGCTAGGCTCAGCTATCTAAGCCAGGAGAGGGATGACCTGGACTCATTGCAGAGTTAATCAGTTTATTCAATTAATTGACAAGTGTTTATTCTGCTGCCTGGAGGCGAGCCACAGAATTGGCTGCCTTGAACTCCTAGGCTCCTGTGCTATTAGGTTAGATGTAACTTGACTAAGTTTGTACAGCTGCTTGACAGGGTTGGGGAGCCCAGGAAGGTTTAGAGAGCTAGAGAGCCTCTGAGAGTCAGTCTTGCAGGAGGTACATGACGCTTTTATCAGCCTGTCCAAGAAAGGATTCAAGAGATGACTTGATCCACCTCCAAGAGGCGGGTGTAAGATCAGTCTAATCTTAGCTGACAACCATGGAAGGTGACCAGCAGCTGAAAGCTGAGGCTATACACCCAAAGCAGGAAAGAATTTTCTGCTCACCTTCTTTAGCACAGACTCATCTGGCCAGCGTGGTTGATGATACTGGGCAGAGGGACATTTTTACTGTCCCTAGGGCCCTGGATCATGTCTTGTTCCTTCGCTTGCCACAGGGGCACAGTCTCCTAGGCAGGCTCCTGATGATACTACTTTCCCTTTGCGAGAACTGCAGAGCTCTGCTCGGTTCTCTTCACCTTCACCTGGAGATCCTGCCATAGCCCAAGCCCTCCTCTGCCATCCAGAGTCTCCCTCTTCAAAACCTTTGTTTCTGCCTGGCCCCAAACCTATCCTCTGTTCAGCCACCCATTACTTTTCTGGCAGCAATGATGTCCCTGTCTACTTTCAGCTCAAGCCCATTGCCTGTAGACCTCTTTACGGTTTTAGCTCAAATTCTTGTAACTGCGTGTGACAGTCCTGTTTTTCCTGTCTGGCTGTGCTGTACTCTCAGGGAGGTGACATCCTCCTCTTCCCTCTGCACTGAAGCAGTGTTCCTCTATGCTTCTCCCTGGCTTCCTGCACTGTTCCCACTGTGCTTCCAGCATGGCACCGTGCTCTGGGCCCAAACACTCTGCCTGTTCTCTTCCATCACGGTGACTTCCTTGGCTTTATCTTCCAAAGGCGGGGAGAGGGGTAGATGTCACTGAACAGCTGAGCCCTTTCCCTTGCGAATTCCTTGCATCCCAGGGAAGGTTATCCCTGTCTGATCTCCAGAAGGTTTTTCTAAGAGTGTATGCTGCAGTTCTGCTTTCAATGAAATGCCATCATGCTGCCTACAGTGTTACATGCTCTAGGAAAAACACCTTTTTGCAAGAAGGGGTTCTCCCAATACTTAATGCTTGCAGCACCTCTCTGAACCTCACTCGTCAGTCATCGAGCAGCCAGAGAACAAGAGCTATACACGGCAGGTGAAGCTCTGCTCTTCCCATTTTCTGCTGTGATGCCTTTCCAGAGCCTGAACTTCCAGACAGTGGTGTTACCCCCAAGCTGCAGCTGCGGGAACGTTAGCACTGTGATGGGAAGCTGACACGCAAGGAGCTGTGTGACGTCCCCTTCTCCGCTTGTGCAGCCAGCTCAGGACTGCATTTCAGACTTCTCAAACTTGGCGGTATTGATCAGACTAGTTAAATGGCAGGCTTGGAATCAGATCGAGATTGCAAATAGGTTTCCCACTGTGCATCTCCCTCCACCCTCACCTTCCAGTCTCGCTGAGGTCCTTCTTGCTGTGGGAGATCCTGTCTTTCTAGCTGTTCTCCTGGTCTCTTGGGGAGCAGCTGCAGTGCGCCACTGCTATTCTTAGCTGTGAAGACAGCGTGCAAGTACCTGGCCCAGCAGAGCTGGAGCTGGTGCACTGCTATCTGCCCAGCAGATCTCAGATAAATTATCCAGAAGATCCTGGTAGTGTGTAATTGAGTAGCTCTGCTACAGGCTGTGCTTCCAGCTATGTACACTCTGCTGTGCAGCGGGGCACAGTAATTGCTTGCTCCCCGGAAGCCAAGAGCTCTGGGTTCGTCTCAAGTGATTGTGCCCTCTTCTCTGAGATTTTGGAGGGACTCCTCAGATTCACTTCTCAGATTTCGTGCTTCCTCCTTTCCTGGTGAGAGGTTGCATACATCAAACAATTACCGTCCCTTGGCTATTTCTCCTGTCCTAAAGAAGTTTTGCCACCTGGTTTCTGGCACAGTCCATTCTTCTAACACAGGAATGAAAAGGTCTTCAGATGCTGGGGGGGGGTGGCTGCCCTGGGGACGTCTTGAGCAGTGACTGGCTCTGTCCAGGTCTGGCGTTAATGCCTCAGGAGTGATCTGCTTTCTAACAGCTGCTGGACCAAGGATCTCTAAGTCTTTCTCAGCACTAACCAAGTCACAACCTTGATTCTGTCAGGCCTTGCCGCTGCTCTGGGATGTGCTAAGAGCTACAACAAGGAACAGGGGGATGCCCCTTGTACAAGCACGGTGTCCACATCTGTGAGGGATTCAGGGCAGGACATGCTGTTGCACCTCGCTAATGGGTTTCACAGTTCTGCATGGCCATCTGCTGCTTGCTGGCTGTGTCCTGTCCGGCTCCCGCTGCGCTCCTGCTGCTCTGTCGGCCCCAGGCAGCTTGGCTCTCCCCTCGCTTTCAAAGGAAAGGCTTGGCCTGGGGCCCAGCCAGAGCTGCATGTTGCACCCTGGTCCCCGAGTCTCAAAGCTGCTGGCGCAGGCGTTGCTGGTCGTCAGCCCAGCGGTCCCTGGCACCAGCATCAGTGAAAGGCACGTGGCTGAATGACCTGACTGATCGCGCCGTCTCCCTCTCTCTCTGCCCCAGATCGGCGGACCATTCTCTGCCCGGATCTTCCGTTTCCACAGACTTTGGCAGCTGGCAGATGGTGACAGGGTGTGGCAGTATTCGGGAGCAGGCAATCCTGAGCGCAGACGCCTCTCTCCCTTGCAGCTTCCCGGATGAGTTCCCTAGCACTTGCCTGTAAGTGTCTCAAACACAGGATCTCTCCTTGGGTCCCTCGGCTGGCTGCGAGCACTGGAACTTTATCACCCTGGCACTTTCGAAGAAGCCTGGGAGCCTGTAACAAGCTGTCCCATCTTCCCTTCTTTGATGCTTTCCATCCACAAATTCAGTCACTGAGCGCTCTTTGCTTATGCTGAACTCAGAAAGAAACCGGCATCTTCTCTGCCTAATGATGGGGGGGGCACTTTGCTTTCTGTAGGAAGAAGAGGCTTTCCTCTCTTCCCTGAAGACACATAATTTGGGCATAACCGAGTACATTTGAGGATGCGTGCTTGTCAGGACAGGACTGGTATCCCAGATATTCTTGCTTTTGGATCTTGCTCATCTCCATCTTCCCGTTGGGGTCAGATCCTTGCTGCAGTAAGAGAGGGGCTTTCTTTCTGTCACCCCGATTTTTGTCTGACCACGTGCAGCATCATTTGCAGGTGCTGCATCTGGCCAGTGCAGAGCAGCGGAGACCCTGCATCCTGCCGCATCCTGCCATGTAAACTGGCTGGGAGGCAAATGTTCCTCCCCAAACAGAAAGCCACCTTTGTGGAAGCTTGAAAGACAGGAGATTCGCTTTAATTGCTGTTAGAGAAGAGGCTTGTGCCTTCAGGCTGTAAACTCTCAATCAAGAAACTGAAATGGCGGATCAGGGGCTGCCGCTAGCTAGCTGTGCTAGAGCTGTGCTGCCAAACGCTTGAGGTCCCTTACCGAGGTCTGAGTACGTGCTTGGGAGGCAGAGGGCAAGCAGTGAGAAAACCGCCATCTCCTGTGAGACAGGCTGGCTGCCCTGGCTCGCCCTCTCATGTGGCTGTGCGCTGTGCTGCTGAGCAGAGCAGCCACTCCCAAGCCATGATGAAGCTACAAGACCCATGAATTGGCGGATCGAAGAATTGCGAGGGATGTCGGACACGGCCTGGTTGATATTTGCTCTCCTCCTTTCACGAGGACACGCTGTGCCGCTTCTGTAGTTGTTTGGAGATCGTTGAAGGAGTAGATCTTCAGCCACCCGACTGCAGGACGGGTGGCTGAAGCAGCAACTGCTTTACTGTGCCCTGAACCTGGCTGTGCTTGGTGGCTGCTGGTCACCAGCAAGTTGTTGCTGCCCTTCTTGGGGTTGGATCTAACGTCAGAATAGGGAATTCAGTAGAGAGAAATGTGATTTGAAGTTGAGCTCTGAATCAGCCTGTGCTGAGACCGTAGGCTCACGCGGCTTAGAGTCCGGCTGCTTGGGACAGCCGAGTTCAAAGGGAGGGGAGCAGCGGTGGTGCTTCTCCCTCGGGTGTGCAGCAGATGCTGCGAGTGCTTTGCCCTGTTCAGCTCTTCACTGGAGCTGTGGGGTGCTCGGAGGCTGGGGACCGCTCGACTGTGGGTGCTGGGACCAGGCGCCGTTTGGAAGGGATGAAGAGTTCCCAAGGTGGTTGTGTTGAGCTTGACCCAGGGCCTCCACTCTCTCTCTGCTCTGCATCAGCTCTGTTCGCTCAGGAGTCCATTGTGGTTTTATCCTAGTTTTTTGCAGCCCAGCATAGTATGAGTTTTTGGAAAATTAAATTCCATTTAAGTTCCCACTTTACATCTCAGCTGGCAGCAGCTCGATGAAGGTATGCTTTTCACAGCCTACTTCTTGTGCTTGTGTGGGGCTTGTCAGGGCTTACTTCGAGCTGGGGCTTTGACAGCCTCCTCTCATCCTGCACCCCAAGCTGCAGACGAGCGGGCAGGCTGTAGGAAGTGTAGCGGGGCAGAGTGCCGTGGATTTGGCAAGGAAGCACGACCTGCCTCCGTGGTTGAACTGCTCAGAGTGAAATGGTGCAGCCGGTCTGCAGGGCTTGGTGTTGGGCAGTGGCCGGCTGCTTGACCCTGCACCTTGGAGTGTCTCACTCCATGAAAGAAACCTAAAAATCTAAGTACAAAATCTGCCCTGTAAAGAGGTGCGAGAGCCAGAAGACGCAGGACCTAACGGCTGCACGCCCTCGCTTACCTCTGGGTGTGACATTTAAGATCACTGTACTCGGGTGCAAATAAGTCCTGCTTTCATGTAGCTTATTTTTAATGCTAGCAGGTTTGCGAGTTCCACGTCCTAATTAGGTTGCCAAAAAGCATCTTTTTAATGTGTTTAGATATGTTGCCTTTTTCCTTTGCTCTCTGGCTTCTCTTTATTATCAGACACTGTAAACAGCGGCCCGGTTGGCTGCCTCGGCATCGCTTGCTGTTTATAGGCCTCCCACCATATCCTCTTGCTGCTGTTTCCGGACCGAAGCTGTTGGCTGTGGGTGGTTAACACTTCCATTCAAATGAGCTGTGCCAATTTATAGCCAGCCCAGGCGCGGGAGAGATTAAAGAGAATTTTTTATGGGGAAGGTGCGCGCTGTGCCCTTGGAGTGACCTTTGAGGAATGTCTTATTCTCTCTGGGAACCACCGGGACATCGCAGAGGCACCGCAGCAAGGACCGTTTCAGGCTGGAGCACTTGGAACAGCTGCCTCTCAACCCTAGTCTTGCTTTCCCCTGCTCCCTCGGCTGAAATACCGCCTTCCCTCTGCTCTCTTCCCCCCACCCCTAACCAGGTGCGTGGATCAGTTGGAGAGGAGAGCAGGTCCCGGGAGAAGCCATGTCCTACTGTGCACGCAGCCCTCCTGCTTGCAGAGAGCAGCCGTGCCGGGGAGCAGAAGTATAACGCTGCTCAGCTCTATTCTTTCTGCGGCTGTAGCGCTCCTTGGGGCTTTTGTCACCTTATCTGCCCCCGCTCATCCAACCCTTCCCCAAAGCTGTCTGTGCTGGCAGAAGCGCGAGAGGCTGGGGCCAGTGGAAGCAAGGGACAGTCGCAAATAGGTTGGAAGTGACTGTCCAGGCATGGCAGATGTGGACAGGCTCCATCTGGGAACGCTGTGCGAGGAGGGGAGGAAGCTGGCGCGGGGGCTGACGTCAGCCAGCACCCGATTGGCGAAAGCAGCACTTTCTGTATGAACGGCGGCCTCGTAAGCATGGTGGTGGTGGGAGAGGCTGGGGGGGGGTGTGAAGGAGGAGACCTAGGGGAGAGCTGGGGCTGTGACTGGCTCCATGGGAGAGGGTTGGGTTGGGTTGGGTTGGGTTGGGTTGGGCAAGGAGGCAGTGGCACCAGCTGCTGTAGCCGGAGCCTTTTGGGGCTGACACTGCCACGGCCACTAGAGCCAGCGGAACACCACGTGTTCACGCCGTGGACAGAGCCCTGCCGCCAGCCTCCTGCCCCATGTCAGGAGTGAGAGCTGGGATGGGGAGAGGGATGGCTGCAGTCGCTGACCTCCCCCTTCTCTCTCCTAGGCTGGTGTCATCGAGCGACCGCGAGTCCCGTCTGGAAGAAGTGCGTTCCGCCTTTCTGGCCAGCTACAGCCGGACCATCGGTCTGAAGGCCGTGCCCCCCAGCCCCTCAGGGGCGATCGGCGGCCTCCTCGAGCAGTTTGTGCGGGGCGTGGGACTGAGAGGCAGCAGCACGCTCTGAGCACGGCGTTACCGCACCGCTGGCTGGAGACCCGCGGGACCTGGCGGGGCCCCCTGGCCGAACCCCGGGACCCCCTTCCCGGTGTGGGCACCTGCAGCGCCCA